AGAGCTAGACATTGAGATTCAAGATGTTAAGCCTTTTTAATAGTTCTGGATGCTTTTTTAGGGTATCAACAAAAATGGCTTGCCAGAGGAAAACACAAGTTTCAGGCTCCTTCTCAAATCAGAGAACTGAAGCTTTATGTGCATGGGAAGCAAGTGAGCCACTAACTACAAATCCTCCTCCCTTCCCGGGATTAGAGCTTGTTTCGCTGATGTGTTAATTTGCAGTAATGTCCCTTACATGACTCATCCCCAAGCCTGAAAACGCGTGGCTCCATCTCTTTGGTGATTCAGATGCAAACTCCCCGGGAAGGAATACAAAGGCTCAGGCTGGGAGCAGAAGCCAGCAAGCAGCTGCCACTCAAAGCCAGGCTGTGACTCGGGTACCCCTCCAGAGGCAGAGCAGGGAGGATGGCAGTCAGCAGCAGGTGGAATGGGGAAAGACATAAAGGAAATTGTGGAAAAACAGCTGTCAGACCAGTGGGACCCGTGAAACAACTTCTGCCCACACAAGAGCTTCCTTGGTGTAATCTGAAAAACTTTCAGAACAGACACAAACAGCTATTGCTGCTGGACTACAAATAGAAAGGTAGAGCAATGGGTTCCATCAGTTTACTTCAATATTAATTTTTGAAGTAATTCAGATCCTGGGTTCCATTGCATTTTTTCAAATTAATACTTCAAAATGTCATGCTCCTTTTCCCTGTGAAAAAGCAGAAGCCAAGACAGACTATTTCTATTTGTGGAAGACAAGGCATTAATGAGAATATTTTCCCGATTTTGGCATTCACTTTATGACAAGGCACTTTTCTAGCAAACCCAAAGAAAGACCAGGTATTAAATGAATTGTAGCAGCTGCAGCCTGGGTATTACAACTTGCACATCTAGTTGAAAACAGACTGAACAGTTTCTACCTTACCTTGTATAGCTAAACACAAGCCTGATAGGGCAGATTTTCATTAGTATTTGTTGAGAAACATTAGGTTTCTTTTCCAAGATTGGACTACTTAGAGCCATATGTCTAATTCCAGAATCAGGCTATCCTTGTTGTGAGTTTGAACTGGTAAACATCATACAATTTAGAAGAAGCAAGGTCAACTAGAAAGCTAACTGGTCAAGAAAACATTTTCTCTTTTTAAAGATAAACTTATTTTCTTTTTTCCTTCCCTTTTTTACCCACACCCCCAAGAGAACTCTCAGCCAGCCAGCCAATCAAAGTGGAAATGTACTTCAAACACATTCAGCCCAACCAAGTTTTCACTGCTGTCCTTCTTGGTGGTCCGTCATATGGAATGGTTTTAATACTTGGAAGCAATACCTTAAGTGTCAGAAAACAAGAACATTTTATTTCTGCAAGAAAGCTTTCCAGTACTACTAGTATTTTGGAAAAGAAAAAAATTCCTTGTAGTAGATTAAAAGGTGAAAAGCCAAAAGAAATCAGAAAGAATACTAGGAAACTGTTCCTTATGGCAAGGTTCAGCATCTATCTCAAAGCTGGAGAAAGGGTTATTACTTGTATATTCATTTCATAATGTAATTTCAGACATTTATTCAGTTATTTAATTATTTTCATTTATGGTAAGAGGGGCCATATTTTTTTTAATCTCAGATTTCTTACAGCAGTTGAAGTCTTTGGCTATGCATCAAACTCTATTTGGTACCAAGTTAGGTTTAAATAGCATTGACTCAGTAGAATCTCAGAAATGAAGGATGCAATGCCCTGATACGAGACATCAGATGGTCAACAATACAGAAGCCTTTAGAAAATGTTCAATTTAAACATTTCTGTCCTTTGGGATCCCTGAGAAGTATTTGCTTTGAATCACTGTTTTTCCCTCAAGATACAGCAATAAATGTGTCAAAACTATAATATCCCACTGTATGCAGATGTCACCCCAGTGTCAGTATTTAATCAGATCTTTAAAGGTATTTTCCTCTATAGTCATAGAAGTGGTAAGAAAGAAATTCACTGAATTTTGAAAATATCTAGCCAAAGAATTTCATCTGCATGTAATTCTTAAATACACATAGAGCAACAAAATATGCAAAGAGGTTAGTGCAGTCCTGTACAAAAATGAGAGCACAGTCCTGCCAGATTAAACCAGAACAAAATGTACTATCTTGCATGTACAGCATGAATCCATGTGTAATTCTGCTGGGCTAGAGCAGAGTACAGTGTGTTCCTATTAATATTTACTCATCTTTCATTTCAAACTGTAAGCTTGTCATTTCAGATAGCAAATACTTTTGCATATTTAAGTAACAGCTAGTTCTATTTTACTGAGATTACTTACTAACAAAGGAATGAATGATTCTGATTAAACTGGCTCCCTGCTTGAAAAATATCACACACAACAGCCAAAGAAAACCCCTTTGAAACATTCCTGTGCTTGGAGGATGTAAGGAAACTAATCTTGGATCATGACGATGATGATGCTGCTATGTAAAAATATTATCCATCTCTCACTGGAAATTTAACTGGCCTGGAGAAAAGGAACAGCACAAGGGGGAAAAGGGCACATTGGGAAGATAGGGAGAGATGGTTTTCCTGCAAGTGTCTCAGGACTGGCTAGCCAAAAGAACAGAGGTTCTAAGTGCACAAGGTTATTTCAATTTGCCAATTTTCAGTTGTAACTTGGGATGCACAGGAACACCAGGACTCTGTGGGAATACCCAGAGGACAATTCTGGACATCAGGCAAGAAGAAGGAATGTATTTCCCAAAGGCCAGCAGCCCTTCACAGTAGGGCAAGATAGAAAATGAATTGCTAAAAGTAAATTACGGAATTAAGGTGTGAGAAGATGTTGCTGTATTCTTTATTTATGGGGTAACCTTCCAGTACTGATTCCATTTCTGTGTTAGATAGGTTAAAATGGGCTTTCAATATATATGTATTTCCCTCTTTTTATTCACTGGTGTATTCTTATCAGGTTTATCATGTATCAAACCTATCCATTTGTGAAAATTTGAGAGATTATCCAATGAAGACTTCCATCCCTTCATAAGTAAATGTCATAAGAAAGAGTTGAATGAAGCACAGGAAAAAAAAAATCTAGTTGTCTTACCCAGTTTGACCATGATACAATTGAGTTTTGTATTAACATTTCAGCAAAAGTATAATTGTAACTGTGTATTATTACAAACCTATGATTAATTTCCTAGAAAATCAAGAAAAATCTTTTTATTAACCAAAGAAATCCTTGTATACTTGCAGGAAGATAAAGCTAGAGATATAGATCAGTTCCATCTGCATTCAATATATTTGTAACTTTCAATAAATAATGCTTAGGGACTGAATTTTCTTCAAAAGAAACTACTGCTAATACAGTTGCTTTTACTTTTAACATTTTGATGTTTCAGCACCACTTTCAGTTCCAGGAATTCAAACTAAATTTCATACTGCTAAGTGTCTGGGAAGAGCAGGCTTCAAAACTAAATCACATTTATGAAAGAACAGAAGCTGGCCATATCCTAGATCCAATTCAGATCTCAATGGAATTATTGGAAAACTTTCCAGCAAATGGAATTCTTTCCATCAAATGGAATTGGGCTTTGAACTGGCTTCTGCAGAGAACTATGCTGGTATTTGAGGCTTTTTCAAGGGGATTCATTTTGTTTGTTTTTTAATCAGCTATATTATTCACATAGTCCAAACAGTCTAGTCAAAGACTCAGACTAAGCCTCTGTTATATTTGATTTATCATCTTCTTGAAAACGTGCTCCATTAAATGGAAACTATTCTGATCAAAGTGTATAACCTTTATAGTGTTTTTCAACTACTGTCATTAAATGCAGCCTGAGTTGCAGCTGCATTTTACTGTCCTGTAAGTTATTGCTTTCCCAGGTGTTTAGTCCAAGGAAGGCCTTATCCAAGAACCTTTTCTGTTGATAATCAAGACCCTCTAGGGAAGCAAAAGTATGAATTTTTGTAAACATTTAAACTAAATTCAAATGGTTCACAGTGGCTCAGCATGCTTTCCATGGTAGCTTTTCTGCTTCCTTTTGTCTGTCTAAAACATTGGCAGATTAAAGCTTAAATAAACTCACCTCAGTTCTCTCTTTTAGGATAGTGATGAGCAAACTGTTTTCTTCAAGTAGCTCCTGCAAGGAGCCCATCTTCCAAAATAAATCTGCCCATCACTGACAGAACCACACCTTGGGATGCAGGGGAAGTCTGGCTCTTTTCTCACTTCTACAGGGAGTGTTTCCTAACAAACTCCCTCCTCTTACATTAAGAAACGTACTGTAAGTGTCTATGAGTGTAATTCAGAGAGTTTTGATGTGAAATTCAACTGATTCCTGGAACACATTGTGTTATGAGTAAATTTCCACAGCACGCCACACATTTCCTAGGTTTACTTCAGATCTTTTGCCAAGATTAACAGCATTTCTTTCATGTTGCTTTCTTTACATTTATATCTATATTCCATGTTTAACATAATGTTTCTATGAGTCTGGAGAAAGCATTAAAAATTTTTAACCTCTAAAAAAAAAAATTTGTTTCTTTCTAAACACTGTTCCATGCATTATTCCCATTTGTTTCTTTATAATTGGCCCAACCTTCCCTTACAAAAACTTCATGAACTAATACAATATTCTGACTTTTCACAAGCTGGAAAACACAAAATCTGCCTAACACTTATTTTTCCATTAAAGAAAATAGATTGAGTCAAACAATTCACAGAAAGGGCAATCACTTCTAATTCTACACATTCTGCAGGATATAACTATGAACATCTATCAACACATCATTAAAATATTGCTGCTTTTATCTCCATTGCATCCTATTAATATTTTCCAAAAGTAGTTTCACTTATTGTTAACGCAACTAAGGGCCTTAATCTGGATTTTGTATAGTGTGTTATCATTCAGCTTGTGATAAATTTGATGTGCCTTCCAAAGATAAGACATGCTCTCAATATGAATCTGTTCCACAGTAATCTTTGATATCAGAGGTACATGAACCAATCAATCTCCATGATTTTCACACATGGCACACTGACCTGGTCATCATAGCGGTAAGTGAGGAACTGCTCCCCTGTGGTGTCCTCAAGAAAACTCCCCTGTGGAGACAGTGCAAACTCAGGCAGGAAGTATGCACCTTGGGACTGCTCTGCTCTCGTCTGTAAAGAAATCAGAGAGGCCACGTTACACCCACTACAAACACAAGTCATTTTTTTTTAAACTGTGCATATAATTACAAAATCTAGACAGGGACTTCTGTAGGAGGAAAAAAAAAAAGGTGTTGTGTTTTAAGGCATGGCATTTCTGGGTGAATATTTTGCTGTGATGGAGACATGCTAAATACCAACAGAGGTTTAATCCAAAACAAGATGCCTCAGTTGCAGAATAATACACTAAACCAAAGGAGATCATCTATGGCTTATCAAACATCACTGCTCAAAGACATTCAAAAAACAATGTTACACTTTCTTTGTCCTCATACACTTCACTGGAGAAGTGGTTACTGCAGGCCACAGGCTTTTGGTTAAATGCAGCGTATTTTATTTTTACAGGAAGAAACAAAGACAGAATCATAGAGTAACTCAGCTTAGAAAATATCTTGAGGGCTCATCTAGTCCAATAGGAAGCTATGACACTGTGAATTACTTTCCTATCTTCAGGAAGATATTACTGCAAAGAAGAAATAGGGAGTGGGAAATGACTGGAGTGAACACAGGCAGTGCTCCCTATTAGTTCAGGATGCTATTCACAACTGGGGAAGAACAGGCTGGGAAAGAAAAAGGGGCTCATTTCAAGCTGCAGAGGAGTTAATTCTGTGAGAATCATAGCTGGCACCTCCAGCTGGGCTGTCTGACACCTGTCTGATCAGAGAAACAGCTTTTGCTTGGAGGATCTGTGCCTGGTGAGCCATCACAGCACATCTGAGGCTGCCCAACACACTCAGCCCGTGCTGGGCCAGCAGCATCTCCCTGCACTGGAGGTCTCAAGCAACCCAGATATGAGCAAATGTTCTGCACAGATTTTCCTGCCCTTATTCCTCCTGCATTTAACACTGCCCTGAGAAGCCAACTGGTTTGTATACAAGAGAAAATAAGTAATCATCTTTTGAATGCAGAATATTGAGTCCAGCTGTGTAGTGAGGACGGGGCAAGGTTGAAACCTTTCAGGGAAGAAAAAAAGGCCTGAAATGTGCAAGTTACTGCTGGACATTTACCAATGAATAAACTCAATAAATAGGGGTGTAATTAAACAGTATATTTTGACATTTACACAGCAATCTCACATGAAAGCTGGCAGCTGCCATCACCCAGTTTCTAGACTCTTGGCTAGACCTGTAACAAATATAGGTGCCAGCTAACCAGAGATTCCTAAAGCAATCAACATAATTTGAAGCAGTTTGTGGTGGAAAAGGAAGGTAAGACCTGCTGCACTTTTTCTCTTGCACTAAGTTCACCTTCTGAAGCTCACAAGTTATCTCATAAAAAGCAGATGGCATGTCATTTGCAGGATGGTCTGGAGAAGCTTACAGGGCTTTTGCTTACTCTGTTGAGAGCTGTCAGCATCTCAGACTGCAAACCCCATCAGTCATGACAGCATCAGATTAACATACTCGGTTTAAATCAAGCAGTCTTCATATAAATTAGAAATAGCTTGCAAAGGACATGTCTAGACTAGGGTAAAGGTCACATTTCAGCATGCAAGACTGAACAAGATTGTCAAGAGGATTTTTTCATCAGGCCTACATAAGAGTAATTCATATTCACACCATATTACCCTTACATTTCTACAAAGCTCATTGCAGCAGAGATCTCCCTTTTACACTTTAGCCAACTGCCCTTATTTATGCATAACTAAGCAATAAAATACGGATAACAAATCCACAGTTGGTAACAACAGTTTCCCCATAAGGCCACCAGAGGAGGTCTGCAGTGCTGCTTGCTGCAGAATCTGAGCTGATGCAAGCCTTGACATGTGAGGCACAGCCCAGACAGGAGAGGGGCTGACATAATCTGGCATCCTTCCCCTGCTTTCTCTGGGCTATCCACAGATCCTCTGTGAGGGAACATGGCAGTGATGTCATCCTGGGATTTCAGCACAGGGCTAATGGATGAGAGAGATGCATTCTAAGCCTCAAGTGGCCTGGCTTCAAGTACTTATCATTTCTACCTTGGTTTTGCCAGGTGTAAAACAATTACAACTGACCTATCCTAATGGTGAATTGTTTAGTTTATATCTGTAGAATACTTTGGAAAATAATCCTGTTAAGTGCTAGTGATTAATAACAATATTTTTGGAAGATTTTCCTAATTTACAGGCAGGAGAGAATCAAAATTATCCCACCATACTTCTTAGCTAATTGTATATATCACACTGTTGCCTAATCTCTCATAAACAAATTTGTCAAGAGGATACATAGCAGTAAACTTGTTTGCATTTCTCATCTTCATAGTTTAAATATTTAAAATATAAAGTCTTTGGACATTAATCAGTACTATGCTTTCAATAAAAAGCATGCCAATATTTGAAGCTGAAATAGCAATTTGAAAAACATAACAAGAAAAACTAGGGGTTTCTAACACACATTCCATTTTCTCGTGAAAAGCCCACAAGCAGCTAGGCACTTGAGGAGCAGAGGAATGCTTGCTAGATTCAGGCAAGCAAAATCTGGCTTCCAAGCATGGAAAATTCAGTGTAAAATGCAGATATTTTATAAGGTTACACAGGAGGTTACAATGGAAACTGATTGTCAGCTGCAGCAATAGGTACTGCTACCTGTCTGGTCTAAGTCAAGTAAGAAAGCATACAGTCAAGCAATTAATTAAAAACAAAACAAAAAAAAACACTAAGAACACACTATCAGCTGTCATGACAAACTGATGTTGAAACCAGTAACTTACATCTGATAAACAACCCAAATTGAAAGGTTAATTTTTAAAAAGTCAAATCTTCAAATGTTCAAAGAACTCTTTTGTATCCACTCACCAAAGCAGCAGAAAAATATTTTTACCACCTAGATGCAGGCACCTCCAAATAAGCTGCATGTTCCCAATGTAATTTCATTCATACATTGTACTGAACACAAAATAGAATGTTTCCACTTAGTCCATTTTATTCCCCACTGAGGAATCCACCAATGCTCCTTATGAGGCTTTTATATTTCTATGGGCACTTTGGCTTAAACATAATTCAAATTTCAACAGTCTGTGGGTTTATAGTATATTTGAGATCATCTCTGAATGACTTAGCTAATCTGATATAAATTCATGTTTTAAAGTAAAGACTATAAGTGCAAGTTTCAGAAAACAATTACATTTCATGCTAGTGTTTTAGGCCTGTTTAATGGCCAGTTTAATCTCAATAGCTTTAAATTAAATGTGTCAAGTTACAAGTACACTTAAGATTTAAAGTAGGCATTTTAAACCAGCTTTTATGATCTTAAGCATATGAAGACAGTAGAGGGTGATAACCTAGCCAAAGCAGATATAGTATTAATCACCACATAAAACTCACTGACATTAATACATCATGTAGCAAGGAAGTATATATTACCTACTGACAAAAAAATAAATATAAAAATTGGAAACAGATCAGTGTTTGAAAATCTTCCTAGTTGATAAGGACATGTAACTTATTGGTCAGAAACTGAAAAAATAAGGCCTTCCATGCTACATCTTTCCTGCTATGTGATCAATGAAACTGTCCTGATCAGCAGAAGGGGGAAGTGTGAAAGGCACTGGGTTTATTCAGGCCTTTATTATGCTGGGGCACAGCTTTGATGTCAGGCTGTGATTGCTTCCTCACTCAGCACTCCCCACCTGAGCGCTGAAAGACCAAATTACTCTTCCACTTTCAATTGCACAAGACACAAAGAGCTGCCTGTATCCAAGCTCTGGTTTTTAGACCTCCTTCCACCAAGAGCTGCACGTTGCCTCTGCTGCTCCACAGTTTCATTGCTCTGTAGAACACTGACTAGAAGCTGCTGGAGTTGAGGATTTGAGGATTTTATTTTACTATTGAGAGTCAGAGGAATGGTCACTGAGTGCTTCCCAGCCAATGCTGCCATTAGCAAGCAGCAAGGCTGGGGAGGACTGAGCTCCCACACACAGCTGAGCCTCTCCCAGTCCCTGAGCAGAAGGTTCTGCTGGGCACAACTTCTGGTTCGTTTCACCCAAACTTAATCCCTCTGGCACATTCTGAAACCACCACACAATGCAAAGTGCTGCTCTTTAACTGCTCTTTATTCCCTTAAGACCCAGGATTCATGTTAGCTATTTTCATCCAGCTTGCTTAAAATTATCAAATCACTAAGCTGTAGAGTTTTCCGTTACTAAAAATTATAAATATTAATCATTGGTCATTCCTTTCAAGTTAGAGAGTAACAATTTTGTCCAAGGATTTAAACTGCTATTGTAATCTCAGATAAATTAAAAGATCTAGTTTAGTCTACAGTTCTTGGAGATAATTTGATACTAAGGCCAAGACAAAGCTCAACCAAACCTCATAATAGCATGCTACTATTCTACTTAATCACAGCCACGGGGAGACTTGAAAGGAGTTGTTCCATGTTTACATGTAGACAGCAGCAGCTTTAGAAAGGGAACTTTCTATTAAATCTGAGCTGTGAAGGTCAAGAAAATGAGAAAATAGAGGTGTAATGGCTCCAAGAAATTGAACATAATTAGAAATAAAACATTAATATTTCAGGTACAGAGGAATTTTTAATTTTAGACTTTCTTGGCACCAAGAACCACATACAGAGAAAAGTAAGAACTCTTCCTGTTATGTACACTTAATACATATAAACATTACCTACACTTAAATCAGTCATTCCCTAATTAAGCCTGTGTCCTTGCTAAAATTGGGAGCATAATGAGAGCAAAGTGAAGTAATGCAGAGGAAAGCTTCAAAATTATTTATTTCAAATGCTGAAAATTACAAATACCACTTTCTTCCTGAAACTGCCTCAGTATCTTACTTTTTAAAAGAAACACAGACAAAAGATAAAAGGTCCAATCAACAAAAGCTTTACAGTTATGCACAAGTGCACTACCCTGCCCAAAGTAAATTCTGTAAAGAAAAGAGAAATACAGTGAAGGCAGTTTGCTTTCCATAGTTTTGTGGCTCTTTTATTAGTTCTTGTTGGAAGTGGAAAATGGGC